TCTCCGCCTTAGTTTACTGGATACTGATTTACGCTATAGTCAGAGGTGTTGTCTGGGAGGAAACCATTATCTTGTTGCCCGACAAGGTTCGATATGTATTCTTGTCTGCCACCATTCCTAACGCTATGCAATTCGCCGAATGGGTAACGAAGATGCACAACCAACCCTGCCACGTCGTCTATACCGATTTCCGGCCGACGCCACTACAACACTACTTCTTCCCCAATGGATCGGAAGGTATGCATCTTGTTGTGGATGAGAAGGGAGTATTCCGTGAGGAGAATTTCCAGAAGGCCATGAGCAGTATCGCCGACAAGAGAGGCGACGACCCGTCAGATGCGATGGCCAAGCGGAAAGGAAAGGGCAAGGACAAGAGGTTGAACAAGGGTGGCACCCAGGAAAAGAGCGACATTTTCAAGATTGTGAAGATGGTCATGCTCAAGAATCTGAACCCTGTCATTGTCTTCAGTTTCAGCAAGCGCGAATGTGAGAGCTGTGCTTTGCAGATGAAGAACTTGGCCTTCAACGACGATTCTGAGAAAGAGATGGTTCAGAAGGTCTTTGACAGCGCGATCGAGATGTTGTCCGAGGAGGACAGAGAATTGCCTCAGATCCAGAATATCTTGCCTCTTCTTCGCAGGGGTATTGGTGTCCACCATTCTGGCCTGCTCCCTATCCTTAAGGAGACGATTGAGATTCTTTTCCAGGAAGGTCTGATCAAGGTACTCTTCGCCACTGAGACGTTCTCTATTGGTCTTAACATGCCTGCGAGAACTGTCGTCTTCACAAGCGTGCGGAAATTCGACGGCTTCAGCCAGCGTTGGGTTACGCCTTCAGAGTTCATTCAGATGTCTGGCCGTGCTGGTCGAAGAGGTCTTGATGATCGCGGTATTGTTATCATGATGGTGGGTGAGGAGATGGACCCCGCCGTGGCGAAGGAAATCGTCCGTGGTGAACAGGATCGACTTAATTCGGCTTTCCATTTGGGTTACAACATGATTCTTAACCTCATGCGTGTGGAAGGCATCTCGCCCGAGTTCATGCTAGAGAAATGTTTTTACCAATTCCAGAACACCGCCGGTGTCGCAGAGCTTGAGAAACGTGCGTCCTTATTCCCTGATTTTTCGAAAGCCGCTTGCTAATTGTGCTACAGAACTCACGGAAATGGAAGAGAAGCGTGCCAATCTCAACATTCCTGACGAAGGAACTATCCGCGAATACTACGACCTGCGTAAACAGCTCCGCAAATTCGGCGATGATGTGCAAGCAGTGATGAGCCATCCCGAGCATTGCCTGTCATACATGACGCCTGGGCGCTTGGTTCAAATCAAGCATAAGGACATGGAGTTTGGGTGGGGTATTGTTGTCAATTGGAAGCATCGCAAGCCACCGAAGAATTCGAATGAAGAGTACAACGATCATCAGAAACATGTGGTTGATGTGCTCCTCAACATTGCTGATGGAGATTCCGTGGGCACCAAGTCATTCGAGGACCTGCCAGCTGGCGTCAGACCACCCAAGGAGGATGAAAAATCCCGCATGGAGGTCGTGCCGGTTGTTCTCAGCTGCATTCAGAGCATTGCCCATGTTTGCCTCCGTCTTCCCAAAGACTTGAAGCCAAATGACACACGGAACAACCTGAAGAACACCTTGGAGGAAGTGAAGAAGCGCTTCCCAGATGGCATTGCCACTCTTGATCCTATTGAGAACATGGGTATCAAGGATGACGAGTTCAAAAAGACGCTCAGGGTAGGTATCCAGTACTTCACAAAAGGAATGACACTGTTGGCTAATTGTCGTTGTAGAAAATCGAGGTTCTGGAGTCCCGTCTTCTCTCCAATCCCCTGCACGAGTCGCCACGTTTACCCGAACTATACAATCAGTACTCCGAGAAGGTGGATTTGGGAAACAAGATCAAGGAGACCAAGAAGAAGATCTCGGATGCTATGGCGATCATGCAACTCGAAGAATTGAAATGCCGTAAGCGTGTGCTTCGTCGATTCGGATTTATCAACGAGGCCGAAGTTGTACAACTGAAGGCGCGCGTTGCCTGTGAGATTAGTACAGGTGACGAGTTGATGCTCAGTGAACTTCTCTTCAACGGTTTCTTCAATAACCTTACGCCGGAGCAAGTGGCATCTGCCCTGAGCGTCTTCGTCTTTGAAGAGAAGACCAAGGAGACCCCTGCTCTGACACGGGAAGACCTCGCGAAGCCCCTCAGGGAGATCCAAGCGCAAGCTCGGATCGTCGCCAAGGTCTCCCAGGAGTCCAAGTTGGCGGTCAACGAGGAGGAATACGTGCAAGGTTTTCACTGGGAGTTGATGGAGGTCATCTTCGAATGGGCGAACGGCAAGTCTTTTGCTGACATCTGGTAAGTTTTAATGTCCACCATTTGCGGCCGTTTTTCTTTTCCGTGGTAGTATTAGATTGCTGACTGGTTTCTTTTTTCCCTAATGCAGCAAAATGACCGACGTCTACGAAGGCAGTTTGATTCGCGTCTTCCGCCGATTGGAAGAGTGTCTCCGACAGATGGCGCAGGCAGCCAAGGTCATGGGAAGCGAAGATTTGGAGGGTAAATTCGAGACAGCCTTGACCAAGGTGCGCAGGGACATTGTCGCTGCCCAGTCCTTGTATCTCTAAGGTACTGCTGCTACCTATCATTAGTAGTTCTTGTATCTATCTATCTTCTCCCTTGGGTCTGTTTTGTCCTCCTCATTTATCATCATCATCATCACCTCTGTTGTAAAGGATGGTTTGCGCGGTATGTCTGGGTGGTCGCATTTTTCTGGCGTCAGGCTTCCCAAAAAGGATTTGGCTTTGTTGTTCGTTATTCTTTTTCTTACTATTTGTAAATGAGATATCTCATTCCCTTTTTCATCTTACGTTTCCTATCTGCTTTCTGTTACCTGAGCCCATCAGATGTACACAACAATATTTCTAGACTACATCAAGAAGCGACAGTATCAATTAGGCTTCATACCATCATCATCCACTTCCGTCTATCTAAACTAGTACCCAGTAGTACCCATGCCTCATAGTGTCATCTTCTATTTAGAATACATTTTATCCGTCTTCAAACGCAACCCCGTTCCCAGAAATCAGCTGCGTTGCTGCTCCATGTGCATATATGTGAGGGGAGTGGTGTTTAGGCACCCCAATGACACGGTTCATTTAAAATGAAGCCAACGACCGGTAATCTTACCCCCAGTCTGTATTTGTCGTACGAACGACTGGGGAAATAGAAAGGTTTGTTAATGTTGCAGTCAGTGTATGTATGTTTTCTTTGTGCTTGGATCATGGTTGTCGGTGCTTGACACTGCTGGGCGTTGGCTTGGTTTGATTGGGATTATGGGTTGGTTGATTGGAGGCTTTACTTGGCCTGTGGTGTTGAAGAGGGAGGATAATATTGTTTTCTTGTATTACTTTGAATTTGGCTACGCTATTGTGCGGTTTTTGTGTAGTCATTGAGTTCGGTATGAAGATTTACTGATAGACCTTTCGCACTAGACTTGCTTTCAGGAGCAGCTCTCGGCGTGGGAAGTGACTCTCTATTACAGATGCTTTGACGATATATCAGGTCGTTCGGAGAACGAGATCTATAGTCACGGCGTCGTCGTTTACAGCCAGAAAGCCATAAGAATTCTCTTGGGCCTGCCACGACCGGTTGGACAATAACCCCAGACCAATGGTCCAGACACGAGCAAGTGCCAGACTGTCCATCGCCTACCTGTCAACCGAGTGGCTTGGGGGATAGTTCAATGAGAGTGTCTGGAATACGGCGAGGTTACCATGATGCTGTGTTCAGCGGGAATATGTTTCAGATGAGCGCATTCTCATTGCTGATTACCGCGAATGAGGCGTTTCGCTGGAAGTTACTAGGAAGTTTCATAGTGTTGGACTGTAAGCCCGCTCCGGGATCTTCTGGGTTCAGTATATGGGTTTGCAGTTGGACTAATCTTTTAGCCAGGCGTTGGGTCAGTTCCAATGACGTATAGACATACATGCAGACTAAGGAAGCAGCAGAACTAAACCCGAGCAGTGTTGATAAGACCCAGTTCCGGATACCAGGGTAGCTGGACAACGTTAGTTCAATGTTCCACTAAACCAAGACCCCCAGGGTTCGTTTTCTGCAAGGTTGACCAGGTTACAGCTTGAGGATCATTCCTGCTCTGGGGTAAGGAGTGCAGATGAATGTCAATCCGGGGTGGCAGAAATTTGAGACTGCAGACGTAGACATAGTCACAACAGCGTCACAGGGTTAGCATGTAACCTTTTCCGAGAAGCACAGCATGTTAAAAGGATATTGCGAGCTTGGATGAGCAAATATGAAAATATGAAAATGATGGTAGCATCAGGGGATATTGATAAATGGTTGGTCCCGTATCCCAAGACGGCCACGCGGTGGAACAGCCCGGTTGACTGTTTCAGTCATTGACAAGATGCTCCGTTTATCGGACGGTTTTAGAGTTGACGCTTGATGAGTTGGGGTCATGCGGACCTTGGGGAGCTGTAAGTGGTGCAGAGCAGGGCCAGGTTAGATGCAGCAGGCGCAGAGCCTGGGATAATATGGTTTTTTTGCCACAAATCAGGAGGGAGGAAGAGGGTAGGATTCCAAGGTGGAAATGGGTGGATCACATTGAGGCAAGTGGGTAAAGGGTAAAGGAGAAAGAGCAGTCACAGACTTTCAAGTCAGAGTCATGGATCCGCGGGAAATGCATCTCAGGCCCGCGTTGCCTCCCGCAACCCGCCTGTCCACCGCTTCTCGCTCAGTCTTTCTCTCTCTTTCCCCACCACTTCAGAAAGTCTCCCCTTCATCCTCCATCCTGCACTCCGTCTTTCCCTTGCTTGTTCGCTTTCCTTATCCTTCCTCCCTTTGATATTTTCCCTCGTGCTCCTGGCTGACCTTTGGTCCCTCCATCTCTGCTTTCCCCCCCGTCATCTCTCGCTACCTTTCTCCCTCCCCTCCCTCTCCCTTTGCCATCCAGCTGTTTGTGGTCATCATGAACAGCTTGGTGGCTACACCACCTGTGCCTCCTCATCACTTTTACGAATATTCCCGTCCTTCTCCCTCCCGTCCAAGTAAGTCTTGCCTTGTCTTCTTCCAGTGCATTTGATGATGACTCCCTTGTTATATGACCTTTGATAACTGACTGATATCAGTGTCTACTCCCATTCACACTCCCAACAACCGCAAACGGAAAGCCGACGATGAGAATGATCACGATGGTCGAATGTCAGCGTCACCTACCAACTCTCCCGCCTTGACTCCGAGAACCCTTCCAGTAAACCGAAACATCAAGCGTGCTCGTCCAAACGTCAGCGGACGGCCTCTCGCTCTCCCCCGACTGCTGGAGACCTTGGACACAGACGCTCTTCGGGGCATCCTCCGGACTGTGTGTGAGCGTCATCCAGGTTTGGTCGATGAAGTAGTCCACACAGCACCTCGACCCAGTGTGGCATCTGCCCTTCAAGTCCTTCGACATTACGAATCCGCCCTTCAGTCGTCGTTCCCACTCGGTGGCAACTCCGAATCAGATTATGCATACAACCGTGTCCGACAACCACTGGGAAATCTTCTAGATGCTTTGAGCGACTTCACTCCACACTTCTTACCGCCTCACGAGACGCAGTCATCTGTTTCTTTGAGTTACCTGGATGGTGCGACCGACATTATTCACGCATTGCCCCGTTGGAGTACACCACAGAACAACCTCGAGCGGGATTCCGCATACGACGAGATCTGCAAGGCTTGGATTCTGGTTATTCGGGAAGCAGCTAAGCGTGGAGGGGGAATTCAGTTACAGTATGGTGGTTGGGATCAGAAGTTGGCGAAGCACAATCACAACTCGGGCGGTAAACTGCAGGCAGCCGTCAACGAGCTGGGTTCCAGTTTAGGATGGATGCACAGACCGGATGCCCAAGGTTATGGAAGCCCAGGCGGCAATGACCTTGGGTCCATCCGGGAGCAACTCCTGTCGGGCACATACGGGCTCGGTACCCCCGTCAAGGTTGGGCCATGGTGAATCCGGTCAGCCATCGACAACCGCAATCCGCCTTTATCCTCATTTCCAACCATCACATCAAATTCGCGACACTCTCACCCGCCCTTCAAATCTTCAGGGCTCTGTCCGAATCCTCGACCGTGCACGTCCACGTATGATACGATCACGACTACCTACTGCATGAACTAGAGTTGAGGGTCAGCTTGGCGTTTACTGTGTGCAAGCAAACATATTCTTTTTCGTTTATTTTCCATTTCCTCCTTTGTGTCATATCTCTGGACGCCAACCCCATGATTTCTAGATTGTCAGATCAAGGCCCAGGATCCTTCATTTCGTTTCAAAATTGCACCATGATCCTGCATTGTCACAGCCGAGCATGGTACATTCTTTCATTCCTTTCGATCATCATTTCCTTCCACTTCATGTGTTCTTCTTCTGTCTCGGCGATATATACTCGAACCGCCGTGGAAAAAAACCGCCTCATTCTTTCAGCCTAGCTGCATTTTCCTTGTCTTTGCCCTATCTTGTATACCCTTTACTATTTTCCCCTTAATATCACTGGTGTCAGGTATATTCTTCTTCGGGTTTTGGGAGGCCTCTTTCATTTGGTGGGACGGGTTACACTACATGTCAGTAAAGCATAAGAACAAAAGGGAGCATCATTGTCCAGATAGTCACAATACCACGAGAACCGACCCTCCCGAGCCGTCTCGGGTTATCAACTAACTGATACTCTCGTTATATCCTTGTGCTATGATCATTCATCCTCCTGCTAATGTTCCACAATTGGGAAACCCACCTCGCACTGCAGATATATATATTTTGCCTAACTAGTAACTCTCTTTAAATCAGGCCCACTCCATCGCCAACACCTACAACCGGTAGTACTATCCATCCCATAGTAGTAAAAACTCAATAGCAACTTTCAATGAAACAGACACCGTGGAGAACCCCCAATAACTGCGAAATTTACTATTAGTACATGGCTATCAACCAGTCTACCCGCTGGTACGCTAACCACGAATGCCGAAACCAACTGGCCATGTCAGCATGGGGGGTCTACGTATGCACTTACGTGTTCGCAGACCGTCGTGCAGGATGAGAAATCAGGAATTGATGAAGTCAACATGTAGTAACCCTTGTCTTGTGCTTACTTACTTAGGTAAGTACTTACATAGGCAGCTTCAATCAATGCTCATGCTTACTACTTATCTGATGTTATTGGTTGCCTTATATGTATAAATATATACCATGCTATTAGTGGTGATTGTATTCTCGTAGAGAAGAGATGGGATCCATCCATGGTTAGATCAGATATACAATAAATATGAAAGTAAAAGTATTGAAATTAGTCCTGTTATGTTTCGTGTTCCTTTTTTCCCGTTCATGACAATGCCTGTTTCACTATCCTGAACAACCACCCGGCATCTTCCCACCCGCCGCGAGTTCCGGGTTTCTCTTCGCTTATGGAAGCGATGTCTGACTCTGTGGCTATGGATATGGTGTCTGTTTCTTGGGAATGGATGTTGTCGTGCATGAGAGACTGAGGGTCGTGATTGATGGACCCTCCTGATGTTACTGCTGGTGGGGCGGTGGTTGCTGTTGTTGTGGAAAGTGGCCAGTCGTCGACACCAAATAAGGTCCATTCTACCATTCGGTCGATCCAGCTGCCTAGTCCGAAGCCTCGTTCACGGGTGAGACGCTGGAATTCTGGTTCGTCGATTTCGTCTTCAGAGGCAATGAGGGAGTCCGAAGTGGTTGTGAAGCTGAGGTTGTCTTCTTCTTCATCTTCTTCATCAGCTATGTTTGCCATCTCGGCGCGGATGCGCTCGTCCACGAAATCGGGGAGCATGTGACGGGTTTGTTCTTCGATAGGGGTGTGAATGCCACTGCTGCTGGTCGTAGTAGGGTTTTCTTGTCTGCTGGAAAACCGGGTAATGTCAAGGCTGGTCATGGCCAGGTCGGGTCTGCTGGATCTGCGGCTTGTTGGGCCTGAGCGAGAGGCTCGACGAGAGTAGGCGGCAGGTGTGGATATGCCGGATTGAGAACGACGGGCGCTGCTCCGTGAGGCCCATGGCTGTTGTTGCTGTTGGCTGTCTAGGTCAATTTGATGGCTGTCTGAGACGAGGCTAGTTGAGCTTTGGCGTTTCACGAGCCAGCTTTGACCCTTTTCTTCGCGGGTCGAGGATGCGAGGGCAATGCCTGCGCGGAGCATCCATTCTGTGTCTGGGTTGTGATGGTGGGCGGCGGCATCAGGGTGACGCCGGGAGGAGCGTGTTCTGCTCCGACGGAGCTCTTCATTCTGCTGGTGATGGAGTGGACTGGCCACGCTCCGGGACTGTAGATTGGTGTCGCTGGAATGGATGCGAGTGGAGCTCTTGCTTCGGGAATGGCGACGAACGCGGGACCCGCTACGGGAGTGAGAGTGGGATAGGACGCCTGGGGTTCCGGGGACGGAGAAACTAGAGAGATACGAGGTCCTGGTTGCGCTGGGGGTGCCGGGGATTTCGTGGCGAGGAGAGAAGTAGTCTGGGGCATCGGTATCGTCGTCGTCGATGGGGAATCGAGGGTTTAGTGGAGATAGAGATACATGGTGTAAGGCGGGATATGAACGGCGTGATCGAAACCCGCCTTGAGATTGTGAAGACTGATGTTTGATGGGGGAGTTAGTGAGTGGATTGTGGGTGGATCTGGGGTAAGGGCTCACTCACATCCATGAGGGCGTTAGGACCACACGGGTCACCGGAAGATCTTTTGCGGGGAAGTATTCGAGACAAATGAGGTGGAAAGATTGATGAAGATGGAGAGAGGGCACAATGGGCTATTAAACCCAGATCGTGATGATCGTCGGGGTTGGAGGAGAAGATCGAACCACCTTCGGCTGGAGCTTGAAGGGGGCGCCCGTGCGCGGAATGGCATGTGAAAATGCGGGCATTCAATTTCATGACTTCCGGATGACTTGACTCCAACAACCTTTTGGGGAGTGGTCTTGAAGATATCCATTGATCTCTTGCTTACAGGTTAACTAATTATAAGCTTAATTGAGGCAAAGCATGGTTGGATGGAAAGGGCGTTAGTGTCTCGTCATCCAGTATCTATCTTACTGGTCGCTGCTATCTGTTGTCCGTTATCGTGACCCCTTCCACATTGTTGACTACTAGTATCTAGTACCGCACTACTCCGGCTTATGCAGTCTATTGAGATTAATCATGAACATCAGAGCTCCACTCTGAGTGTAGTTTATTTGACTTGAAATCCACATCGATTAAATAAGTGTATAATCCCCTACCAAGCAACTCGTGACAGTATATTTATAGAGACGCGAAGTGGTGCCACTTACTGCATTTGGTTGGGACTCGACCAAGTAAATAGGGTTGCCTGGATAATCCCAGTATAAATCAGGAAATCTCCGAGTAGGGCAGCAACAAGATCTGGGGCTTACCGATTCTAGCAGATCATCGAATCATTTGATGAGTTAGTAAGAAACTGCCTCACCTTGACTTCCTGATAAATGATGGGAGAAACAGAGTGAATCAATGCCATCCCCACACCGCCCGGACCAGCCTTACTTACGTTGACGATCAGCCGGACTGGACTGGACTGGCCGGGATGCTCTCCACGTACCCAATCACTCTGCCCTGTCAACTTGTCACTCCTTCATCGCCATTCCCTCAGCCCATCATTGCCTCTCTCTTGCCTTCCCGCTACGTATTTATTTCCTCCGATTACCCCCTCCCCTCTGCCAAGCACTCACTTTCATCCAACTTGCCACAACTCGTCTCCATCTCTCTAGTTGCTCTTCGGAGTGTGCCATTCTGTCGTTCCCCAACCCCGATCTTCTCCCCGCTCCCTAGCGCCCAGCCACCATGGCTGAGGAGGCAAGCCGGCCTCTGATAGAGCAAGAGCCACGACCTATCTCGCCTCATCGCTCCCCAACGTCCATTGGCAAAGCTTCCCATCCCCCAGATTCTGAGCCGGGTCCGTATGAGCTATCTTCTGAATCAACCCCTCTCCTCGTCCGTCACGATGACGATCTCCTGGGATACGGCGGGACCGGCTCCAGGAGGGCGTCGTCTGTCCGACCTCGAAGTATCTCCTCCAGTGGGACGCTCAAGAAACGCCGTGGACGTATACGATGGCCGATCTTCTGTGCTCTCCTTACTGTGGCTGCTGTAGTCGCCATCCTCATTTTCGCCTTTATCGCCCCAGCGGCCGTCAAGGAATACGCCAAGGAGGCGGTGGTCTTTAAGCCCACCAATGTCTCGATTGAATCAGCCACTGCAGATGGCCTTCAAGCTCGGATACAAGGGGACGTGGTGCTCGATGCGCGGCGCGTACACAAGAAACCAGTGCGGGACATTGGTCGTTTTGTCACTTGGATCGGAAGGGAGGCCGAATCCGGCCAGTCGGAAGTCGAACTATATCTCCCAGAGTATGGGAACGTTCTCCTAGGCACGGCCAACCTGCCTTCCGTCAAGGTCAACATTCAGAATGGTCATGTAAACCACGTCAATTTCCTGGCAGACTTTGTGCCTGGGGACTTCGAGGGAATTCACAACGTGGCATTGGATTGGTTGAATGGAAAGCTCGAGAAGCTGACGGTCAGAGGGACAGCAACCCTTGATGTCAAGTCGGGGTTCCTGAGCCTGGGCCAGCAGCTCCTTTCCGATTCCCTCACTATTGAAGGTTGGTCTCACATTATCTCGATTCCTCGTATAAGCTTCTAACTCAAATTCAGAGGGCGACTTTCCTTCTTTACCCGCCGTCAACATCACGAATCTAAACGTCCATGATGCGGAAGACCCAGGACAGCAAGGCGCAATGGCAATTGATGCCTCGGCCGCTGTCCAGTTTGATTCACCGTTCGCAGTGAACATTCCTCCACTGGGGTTCGAAGTCCTGGTCCCGAATTGCTCTCCAGGTGATCCCCCAATTCGGGTAGCCGCTGCTACGACTCGCGGGTTTCCGGTTACTCCTGGCCAGCCAACATCAGTTGATGTCGCTGGCGTAATCCAAGGACTCTCTGAGGACTTGACCAGAGTGTGTCCAGGGATGAAGGGCTCCCCTCTGGATTTCCTGGTTAAGAGCTATATTCATGGAGAGGGAACCACTGTCTATGTCCGTGGAGCGGACCCGCCTTCTCTAGCTACTCCTGGATGGGTTGTAGATATTCTCAAAAGCGTGACGGTGCCGCTGAGTTTCACTGGGCATGCCCTTGACAATCTCGTCAGGAACTTCACAATGTCGGACGTGCATTTCACCCTGCCAGATCCCTTTGCGGAACCCGATTCTCCAGAATCACAACCGACGGTATCTGCGTTGGTGAAAGTGCTGATTGGGCTGCCGAAAGAATTGGGACTTCAGTTGGATGTCCCCAGGGTCCGGGCTACTGCTGACGTGTATTACGGTGGCAATAAACTCGGGATCCTGAATTTACGGAAATGGCAGGCTGCCAACTCGACTCTGCTCGATGATGTTGATGGCTCACCAGCGCTATACGTCGACTTCGGGATCAAGAAAGCGCCGCTTGAAGTGACGGATGAAGATGTTTTGACCGACGTTCTTCAAGACTTGATTTTCCAAGGGAAACGGGTCAAGCTAGATGTTGCCGCCAGTGTAGATGCCGAAGTCACTACGGGGCTGGGCACTTTTGCTGTTCGTGAGATACCCGCGCAGGGTGAGATTGTGGTTAAGCGTAAGTCATATCTAGCTGACTCCCCTGCCTATCGACTGACTTTATGTAGCCCCATACGGTGGCTCTTTGGACGAATTAAGCCCGCATATTGCATCGGTAGAACTTGGAGCTACTACTGCCTCGTCTCTTCTGGTGAAGGCTCTGGTCAACGTGACCAATCCCTCGCCGTACTCAGCATCTGTGCCATCGGTAGATTTCCTGCTTTTATTCAATGGTTCTAGAGTCGGACACATCACTGCAAAGGATCTTACCATTACCCCGGGCACCAATGATGGTCTCCCCGTGGACCTCACTTGGAGCCCACTTGTTTTGGATGGGGAGACAGGCGTCGCTGCTGGCCGGGAGCTGCTCTCCAAGTATATTTCAGGCAAGCTCGAGAGAGCCTCTTTCTCCACTTCCGATTCCTAACCATGGTCGCAGGATACAACACAACTGTTACAGTACGGACACATGAGGGAACCATCCCGGGACTACCCAAGCTCGGAAAGGCGCTCTCGAAACTAGGGCTCGAGGTCCAGATTCCTCGGGTACCCGTGCCTCATGCCCCGGGTGCCGGGAACGACCCTGATGATGACTCAAAAGGGTTCATCCAAGGAGCTACGGTATTATCTACTTTCATAGATATCGTCTCAGAACATGGCACATAAACCACTACACATTGCGTTATCATAACTATAACCATAACCATGACGAGGCATTTATTCATCCACGGAGCGCGCGCTCCGTTCAAGACAAGAGGAAGACTAACTTGCGTGAGTGCTGCTACTAGATGCACCTCTGGTCATCCACGGCCGAGTTCACACTATCCTCACCATTTCCCAACACCACCATTGATATCACTTCGGTATATGCGCAGGCATTCTACGAAGGCGACGAGGAAGTCGGCACCATCGACTACCGGGTGCCGTTCCCCGTGCCGCCGGGTATCTCAGTCACACCCCGATTGCCTGTGGACTTGAACCTCGGTGGTATTGGCTATGATGCGCTGAAGAAAGCGCTGGGTGGCACTCTTGGATTAGATGCCGTGGCGAAGGTGGGCGTTCAGATTCAACACTATCGGGATATAGTGTTCTATCATGGGAAGGGAATTAAGGCGCGAGTCAAACTTTAGGAGTCTATTCTATTGCTCTTTTGGGTTATTGTTTTCATAAGCGGGCTTGAATCATTTCTCATCCAATCTGAACCGGCGTTAGGAATAATAGAACAGGCGTTTTGACGTTGGGGTAATTAGGCTGTGTCATACTTGGTTTACTGGACTGTTCGCTAGGATACGGATGACTCATTTTCAATACAGAATTGAGTATTATTGGCTTTCAATGGAAAGCAATGCTATCAGTAGTAGTAGTAGTAGTAGTAGTAGTAGTAGTAGTAGTAGTAGTAGTAGTAGTAGTAGTAGTAGTAGTAGTAGTAGTAGTAGTAGTCATAGTACTGCAAGATCCAAATGAATTGAGTCAATTGTTGAATGCGAGAATTTACAACATATTATTAGGTGGAACTCAGGTCCTGCAAAAGGAAACGGATGAAGTACATTGTGGTTGTGCTTTTTACATTGCGGGATATAGATAATAATAATAATAGATAAGTAAAAGCGCACAGACGATTACATTTAACCGGGGGGAAGGGTGCTGGCGTCAACAACGTCAGCGGCGTCCTTCTCGATCTCCTCGCTAGGCTCGAAGAGAGGAGACCGGGGCAGAGCCATCAGACCGGTACGGGTGGACTCGAGGACACCGAAGGGGCCGATAAGCTTCATGAAGGAGTCGATACGGGAGGGTTTGGCGGAACTATATCATATCATCAGAATCAAGAGATGCAGGGAAATTGTATGTATGACTCATGGGGCGGGTAACTTACACCTCAACAATGCAGTTGTTAGTACTGATATCCAGCACCTTTCCACCGAACTGATGAGTGAGACGGGTAATCGCATCCAGATGCTCATGCTTGTGTCTCAAAGCCTGAGATTGGGGCAGATTACGAGGGTGGAACTCGGTCTTGGCAACCTGCGCAGCCTTATCCTTCTGACCCTCGGTCTGCTCACCGGGGGTGGTGATTTCGCGGTGGTGCTGCAGCAATTCCTCGAAGAACTCGGGACCCAAGATGCTGACCTTGGCGAGGAGGAGCTCGCGCTGCACCAGAGCGGACTCGGTGTAATCGAGGACAGCCCAGACGGGGACAAGATCATCGAGTTGACGACGAGCCTGCTCGACGACGCCGTCCTGACCCTGCAAGACGATGGTCATACGAGACAGATCCTCGACTTCGGTGTTACAGACGACGAGGGAGTCGATGTTGAAGCCGCGAGCGGCCAGAATACCGGACACACGGGACAGGACACCGGGCTCGTTCTGCACCAGACAGTTCAGGATGTGACGCTTGGGAGGGTTGGTGGGGACGGAAGGAGTTTCGTAGAGAATGGACGAAACGGCCGTGGGGGCGTCCCATTGAGGTGAGGCATCGTTGACGGGGAGAGGGAGGGGAGACCGGCGATGAAGGGCCTTGTAGGCGAGGGCTGAGGTCGAGCTGGAGGAGGAAGAGACCCGAGTGGTGGTGCTGAATCGGGAGGCTGCCCCCAGGCGTGAGGTACGGCTCGCAACGGACAGGAAAGGCGTTGATGCTGTCGACGACAGCATCAAAGGACGCCGGAAAGCCATGATCGCCGGCGACGGATTAGAGCCTGCACTTTTGTGGGAAAAAGTGGCAGGCAACAAAGTCCGGAGATCCTCGCAGGGCTTTTCTGGGGTCGCGGAGAATAAAGTCCGCAGGTGTTGGAACTTCGCATTGCATTTTATACGCGGCGGCCTTCCGACCTCGGGGCGCTGACTCAGTCTCGGCGGTAAGGATTTCGTTTGTCCCGTGACGACTTTTATTACTTACCATACATACATACATACTGAACTACTGGTAGATAGTGTTTGCACGCTTGGCTGTTTTGGGGTTAGTTGGTTTTGTGTGAACTCACATGATCGGGGCTTGCATCTTCGTTTCTTCATCGATTCTATTGTTTCTAGTGGTTACTATTTGGTAGTTGATCAACTTATAGATACATTTAGTGCATCTTACGCAATGTTCGATTGATTTGTTGTGTTCATCTACCTGCCTATTATCTCTCCAAAGGACCCTGTACTGTCAGTACGGGCACACTATCTACTTTACTACACACACTTAAAACACTAGGCCTATTATTGGCTCCCAAGCGCAAAAGGGCCGCTACTAAGTTCTCCGGAGTGGCAGCTCGGCATCCCCCGTGGCTGGCATTTCTTGCTTAGTTTCTGCTACTTTTTCGCTGGGCCACTAAACTATCTCGAGTCGAGTCCTCTTTAGCGGCCAAACCGGGGCGGATCGTTCCAAACTCCACCGCCTGCGAAAGTCTTTGGCAAGTTTATCTTGGCCTTTTCGGAGCCTACCTTGCTGCCTTGCCTCACGCCCTTCATTTTCACCTTAGACGTCACTTATCCCTTTCCCTTCTCTTAACCTCTCACTTCCTACATTGCCGATACTATGGACGATCGCCGCTCGAAACGCTCTCGTTTTGATCAGACCGAGCCGGAAGTGCGACGCCCGTCGCGCTTCGACCGCCGCTCTCGGTCTCCCTCGTCGCGACAGTCCGAATCGACTCGAGCTCGCAGCCCTCTCAGTCGTGAACCTCGGAGCCCTAGCGCAGACCCTGCGAAGAAGACCGATCCCGCTGCCGCCGCTGGTACGTTCGTCCCTTCATGATAATGGCAAGAGGAAACGTGTATAGCAGCAGAACTAACGTTGGAGTCATACACAGCTGCCGCTGCGGCAAAGATCAACGCCCAGTTGCAAGCGAAGAAGGGCATTCAACATGTCGACGTCCCTCCAATTCGCTCGGTAAGCAACGCCCATGCTGGTCGCAAAACAAAGGATAACACAATATGCTGACTCTGGTTTCCACTACCTAGACCGCAAGCCCCGTACCAACATCCGGCTCACCTGCCAGCGGCGACGCATCTGGAAAGTTGAACGCAGAGATCTACGTTGCTGATGGAGACTATATCAAGGATATTGAGATTAATGACTTGCGCAACCGTTACACGCTGACTAAAGGCTCTACTCAGAAGATGGTAATTACTCCTATATACATCCGCTGATCCTGCCCAGGCCCAAAGCCCAAAACCTGTCGCAAGCCTAGCTAGCTGCTGGCTTCCGTCGTTCGCCATGCGCCTTTTGCTTGGTTTTGCTTGCTCGTTTTTGGCCTCGTTTCTTCTACCCTGTCCTTTTTTCTTCTCCAATGATTCGTTTTGCGGTTATGGCTAAAGCTTACCCAAGTCAACATCTTGCAATAGCATCCCAACACTTGCCCTCATTTGCATCTGCTGACCTCCGCTGCGTGACATTTAGATCAAAGAAGAAACTGGCGCCGGTACGCCTTTCATTCCATATTCATATTATTATCAAACGTTTGACTACAAGAAGGAAGCTCATCATTTTTGTTCTCTTTTCAAGATGTCACTACGAGAGGAAACTATTACCCGGATAAGAGCATGGCCACCGCCGCGGTACGTTCATATACCAACTCCCCCGTTGATTCAGACTATCTGAATTACTAACGCGCAACCCCCACCCAGAACCCCCCGCTCTATCTCCACGTAACGAGCACAAACAAGGAAGGCCTTGAAAAGGCCGTCGCCTTGATCGACGATCTCATGAAAAAGGAACTCCCCAACCTGGTTGATGAGCGCCGGTTCCGTCGTCGCGAACCCGAGCAAGTAGAGCGCGATGAGTACGGTCGTGTACGTCCTCCACACCATGCCAGCACCAGCTATTCTCTCTGTCCCTTCCTTTCAAGATTCAAGACCCCAGAGAGAAGTCTATAGACAACTAATGGTTTACAGCGCAAATGGCCCGAGGAGCGCATCCCCGTCGATCTCGAACCGATCCCTGGCTTCAACCTCCGCGCTCAGGTCGTCGGACAAGGCGGTGCCTACGTGAAGCACATCCAGCAGAAGACTCGCTGCAAGGTTCAAATCAAAGGCCGTGGCTCTGGTTTCATGGAGCCCAGTACTGGCAGGGAAAGCGATGAGCCAATGTTCTTGCACGTAGCGTACGTAACGCACCTACAACCCCTCCCTGTCCCTGCAGCACCGGAAACAGCTTGCACTGATGCTTATCACTTTCATTCTGCAGTGGTCCCGACCCGAATGATGTCCAGAGTGCAAAGGCCCTGTGTGAGGATCTACTAGCCAATGTCCGCGAACAGTACCAGCGTTTCAAGGAGAACCCGCCCCAGCACAGCTACGGCGGTTATGGCGGCCAACGCGGAGACCGCTATCACTACGGCGGAGGTTACGGCGGTGGTGGTGGTGGCGGCGGCGGCGGATATGGTAACAACCATCACCAGAACTCGCCATCTACCTCTGCCAGCCCGTCGACCCAAGCCGCAGGTGCTGCTGGCGGTTCGGGAACCGGAACTCCCGACTACAGCGCCCAGTATGCTCAATACTACGGAACCGACCCATATGCTGCCTACGGCGGTTACCAGAATTACCTTGCCTACTACCAGTACTACCAGGCGGCTGCTCAGCAGCAGCAGCAACAGCAACAGCAACAGTCCCAGAGCCCCGCTCCGCCGCCGCCGCCTCCCGCCAGCGAGGCTCCCCCTCCTCCCCCTCCGGGATCGGGCTCTCCGCCACCTCCTCCTCCCGGCGGTAGCTACAGTGCTGTAAGTACAATCCGCCGACTTAATGTTGTGTGGCCAAGCGCAAGGATTAACTGCTTTGCTCGATTTAGGTCCCTCCCCCTCCAGGACTGTGAGGTGATGCTTGGGAAGCTGCCATAGCAGTAGCCCAAAGCAGAGAATCAAAGAAGGCTATGCTTATTCACGAGTATGAAACGGTGATTCTTTGCAGGCGCAATGGATACCTGCCTGCCAGTGAGCCCCATCGACGACCGAGCTGCCTCTAGGCTGTCTGTACCTTTAGTCCGTTCTTTCGTTCTTATTCAACCGAGGTTTGGTCTGTGTTGCTAAAGTCTGTAGAGCAAAGCCGGAAATCTGCGCTCATTTCTGAAGCTAAAAGAAACTTTGCTGGTTTGCTTAGCGAATTGTCTGGTTTGCCCAATCCGTTGGCTCTGGTAGGATGTGTGCACGCCTCTTCTTTGGGGTGGTATAAAAAATCATTCCACACGGTATTGAACCGTAATACTGATATCTTTCGCGTACGCTGGCTTGACAAGAATAGTCGTGTCAGTGTTCGACCAGCAAGATGGCCAGTATCTATACCCCAGTATCGTTGAAAATTCCTATCGCAATATATATGAAACCTATAAGAGATACTCAAACTTCTAAGGATCAACCTCAGGAAAATACCCCCGGGAACATCTTTTGCATATACCACGGGACGTCCATGTCGGCAAAGTCGTCTGTGTGGCTTTCGGGCGCCATTCTCGCCTTTCGCTGGGCAAGAGCGTGAGAACCTTCTTTGCAGAAGTCACAAGCAAAGTCACATGGTGAATCAGTGGAACCATTAGTTTTCATCCCCGATGTAGGGACTTGGGAACCCATCTTCTCAAGTTCGAAATCCCCAAAGAAATCCTTGATCAGGTCATGCCTGCATCGTGTGGTATTCTCACAGTAGCTGATCACTTTCTGAAAGCTTGCTAGTCGAGCAAGCTGATTCTGAACGGTGGTTTGTGCCTTGCTGTTCTGGTTGCTCATGTGCGCGCCAGTGCGATTGCGAGCGTTCTCAATGTCTCGTTGCAGACGATCAAGAATCCTATCTCGCTCTTGTGTGTTGTAGTAGACAATGGATGCGGCGGCATGACCGTCGCGACCTGCGCGACCGGATTCTTGAACGAAGCCTTCGAAGCTCCGTGGCGGACTCCAATGAACAACGAAGCGGACGTGTGGGCTATCAATGCCCATACCGAATGCAGTAGTGGCGACGATAATATAAAATGCCGGGTGTTCCGGTGATTTGTTCTCATTATCTGCATGCTGAGGGACTGACTTAGATGATGTCCATTCGGACTGGATACGCGTACGGTCTTCAGAGGATAGGCCAGCGTGGTAAGCCACAGCGTGAATACGGCCGGGCCAGCTTGCTGATAAAGCAGGGGCTAGTTTATCGGATACGGTTCTGAGAGGCACATAGATAATCCCAGATATCGGGGGAAGCGTGGCGGGCGCAGAGCCAGTGACGGCCTCTCTGCGGGCCTGGACAGACTGGAGCCATGAGACGAGGTTGTGGATCTGGAAGTCTTCTGGCTCTGTGGGGTCACTTGCAAAATCGTTGAGGTACCTTATCTCGTAATGAATGTTTGGACGTGCAGAAGGAGTGTTGAAGATCTTCAGCGTGGAAGCGTCCAAGCCAAGAAGTCTGATTATATCTTCCCGAACACGAGGCGTTGCAGTTGCTGTAAGCGCACTGATTGGGATAGGTGGATTCGTCAAACTTTGTTTAAACCAGCTCAATTCTTTGTACGCCGGCCGGAAGTCATGGCCCCATTCACTAATGCAATGAGCTTCGTCGATGGCAACACGATTCAATTCTCCCTGGCGGTGGATAGTCTGTAGATTGCGTCGAAAGCCTTCTGTCTGACAGAGTTCTGGTGTCACGTAGAGAAGCCGGGTTTTCGGGTGACCTGATAGTAGGTCGTCCAAGATCACACGTCTCTCAGCAATCGGAGTCGTGGAGTTGATTGTTGCTACCGCAACCCCTAAAGCTTGAAGCGCTTTTACTTGATCGGTCTGCACGACATATTAGTACCGCTCGAGAGTGGATATTGCGCAGGCTGACCATCAAAGCAAGCAAAGGGCTAATCACAACGGTCACTAAAGATATCATCAGACACAATCCGAAAGATGATCTTCGAGCGGTAGACGCAGGTGGACCAACCGCCATGGCTTATGACTGCAGGTAGTTGAAAGCACAGGCTTTTCCCGAATGAAGTATTTGCCTGCAGGAACACATCATGGCCGTTGATGGCCGCCGTGATCACCTCACGCTGAAGAGGTCTATACAATAGTTTCTTTTAAGTCGAGTACTCTAAGGAACTGGTGGCAGCTTGAACATACCGAAAGGACTTCTTCCGGAAAACTCGGCGGAGGTAGAAGTCTATATCCACATTGCGACGTTTGAAATTCCCACTTCCCATTTCTGCAGCATCGTTAGAAGCACGACAGATGTCTGCACAGGCTGGGAGATTTCCCCAGAATCGAGAATTGAGGCATCGGCTGGAAGACGCGACGCGGGGAAGGCACGATACGCGATGCCACGTGATATCGATAGAGATCCTAATCGGGAAGGCAGATGGGATTCTGATTTAGTGAGCGGAGTACCTCTCCATTGCCAATAGCACTATATACTACACCTAGATCGGCAAGTTTGAAATGAATTTCTAGACCCAACTCTTGAATCCATTATTGATGATATCATTTAAAAAAACTAATAACACAAAAGCTTGTTCGCTGTACAGGATAACAAGCGACAGCCTTTAGCTGTTGCCGTTGAAAACACCGCTATCAGGCTTCAACCTGAGGGTATATACTACTATAACAGGTCTATAATGTACATGTATCACCATCCCACATCTAACCCTCCATGATTGGCTAATATTGCCTTTGGAGTCTGTTCATCTGCCTCTCTAGCTCTTCCTTGGCAGCCAGGACGTCCAGCGCCTTGCGCTTCTCCGGCTGCCAGATCCGTATAATCTGCAGCCAGACCTTCATAAGCTCTTCTGGCCCGCAGCATGCGCCGAACGCGCGGAGAATGATGATGATCATTCGACGGCCAAGAAAGACGCCATTCTCTATCCGGCGTTCCATTTCTTCCGAATCTTGCGGCTCATTTTGCAGCTCATTTTGCAGGTCCTGAGCTTGCTGTCGAAACAATTCGTCAACATCAATATCTTCTTCGAGAGCAGCCATGCTTTCATTGGCATGGGTGACACCTTTGTGCTCGTCGAACTGGTCCATCACCTTCTGTTCCTCGTTCTGGGCCTCGCCCCACTCCTTGGCAGCGGTGCCAGCAAAAGGCAATGGAGTGTACAGTCCACTTGGCTTTCGCGAAATCGTAGGCCAGCCTATCTCCATGGCGGCGGGGGCCTTCAATACCGGGATCTCTGTGATATGCTTTCCACTTTGGCTGCGGTACATTTCAATGAGTCTCGTCCTCGACTCGTAGAGAGCACGCAGATAGGTTTTCCAAGCTACACGTAGCCGTTCGGCCGTCCAGCCCTTCTTGTTTCGCCCGTTGCGAGCGAATCCGTCAAAAAGCAGGAGGTATATCATACCACGCGGCGGAACCACGAACACTTTCTCCATGTCTGCAAGGACAGACATGAAACCATGGATGTCAGCGGTTTTGTAAGCGTGCAATGAAAGAAATATGTGGAATGTTCGAGTGTCAGGGATTGCGTGAAGCGATTGCTGAAGCGCACGATGGTGTTCAGGCATGATCTCTTTCAGTGAGGTGGATTCTTGCAGGACTCGACCCAGCTTCTTCACTCTGCTCCGATAGAGGTTCATCTCCGATGTGAGATGCGGTGTTTTTGAATGCTTCGACTCGATGCTTAGTTCCCCTGTCTCTTGGGACTTTGCTTGGGCCTCAAGCATCTCCGCATATATCTGCTTCGCTGAGTCCACATCTCCGGCACGAATAAATGACGCCATTAGGCAATTCATCACAACCGTGTCAACAATCTCACCACTCGAAACAAATTCATTGAATGTCTCTTGAATGCCAGCAACATCCTCTTGCATACCACAATAGTAGAGCTTGGAGACCTTTCCGAAGCGCCGAAATTCAATATTACGCTTCTTCATTTCCTCCAATAGTCGTTCCGCGACGGTGAACTGATTCGCTTTGATGGCAATATCGAAAAGAATGGTGAACACGACATCATCAGACTTAACACGCGCCAGATATTCCATCTGTTTCCATAGTCCAATGGCCCTCACCACATCTTGCTTACGTACTTTGCCAGACGCTCGTCCTGCAAGGTGTATAGCGGAACTCCAGAGCGAGCGGGATATGGGCAGCTTCGCAGCGACCATGTCTTCTATCAACGCAAGGTAGCGACGAGCATCCACCCAACGACGATCTGGAGGATCGGCGAACCGACGTAGGAGTGCTCCTCTGGAGCGTTTGGACAGGTAAGCAACCCCGGGGGAGGGAAGATCTCGGTAGAGACGAAACACGTAATGGTTTGAAATCCTCTCATTCCACATAGCGTCCAGAAATACCTCAACCGTTTTGTATTCCAAAGCATCCCGCGATTTGTCTACCGTCGGAAATACCTCGTTTGAGGGCGGTCCTTTCTGTGTCTCGTTCGCAACAAGATCAACTGCCTGTTTCCAGTTGAGTGAACTACCAAAGGCAGCTCGATATAATTGTGAGGTCGATGTGTATGCTTTCCTGCTTGGACTTGTTCTTTTATAATGGCGATATTTCTCCGACTTGCTCGACGAATCCGGTAAACGGCCAATCCTGTCATCGTCAGGGGCGTTGTCGCTCGCAGTTGAATTATCTTCGCTAGTTGATGCAGTGTCCGCTGTTGGTAGCTCGCTGTTCAACTTCTCCAGATCCATCTCTCGTAATCCTCCATGTGACTGTAATGTTGATTCTGTACCCGCGCCTGGGTAGCGATCTTTGAATGAAGATCTCGCTGAGGGGCTGTTCGCATAGCAGTTCCCTTCACCATCCTCATCCTCTATTCTCAACGCAACACCGGAATTTATCATCCGTTGTGCACTTGAACGATGCAGACTCCCTGTCGATGTGCCTAGACAGTCCAGGCGATGTTTCGACGACAATTGCCTGCGATGTGTCAACCCCCGATCCTGCCATCGAGCGACATTGTTCCCTGGATTCTTCATGGAGATCGTAGAGATCCCCCTAGCGCGAGGGGTGTGCTCATGGCAGTAGCCTGCCATGACCAGGGAGCTGACAAAAAGGTCTGCTAACGACGCCGCGGTAGGGCGGGCACGTCTGGAACTGAGTCGTCTGACGGAGGCATTGTAGGAGAACGGTTCGGAGTTTGACATCGAAGTGTGACGGGAGGGGAGACTCGTATCCAACCGCTGCGAGGGGAGAAGTCGCAGGTCGGTCGAGTTCTGGTACCTATTGGGAGGAGGCATGAGATGGCAGACATCGTGGCATTGGATCAGCCCTGCATGTCCCGAGGAAATCTCGAGCAGCTTGAAGAGAAATGGCCCGAGAGCTCTTCAAGCGTGACAGGAAGAAGTCGAAAAAGAAGATGGGGGCAAGGACGAAGGACGTCCCAAAGGGCACAGAGGGAGGGAGAAGTAGGAGGGCGTAAGAAGCAGTAGATAGACAGCGAGGTTGAGCTCTGGGTCAAATTATTATTATGGGCTTTGGCGTTCGCTCTGGCTTTGCACCGGGCGGAGCCGGCGACGGGCCAATCGGAGGCGCGCATTGCCAATCCTCTTTTTTGCACCTGCGCAGGTATCTGGAACACCAAACTCCCGGACCTTCCCTGCCCATGATCTTGTCTCCCGAACACCTGGGTCCAGGCCAGTCGTCGTCCATATCTTTAAGCTTGGTCCATTGATCGTCCCGCCGGTCATTTGCTTCATCCCTGCGTCGGGTTTGTTGCTCTCCGGATTTGTCTATTCCTCCCCGCTGATTCTGCACGGCCTTCTGGCTGCCGCGTCCGACTCACGATGGGCAAATATAACCTCACGGCCCTCCGGGTTCGCCAAACCGCTGTGGCACAGAAAGCCGCCGGCAAACTTCCCCAAACGCCCAAATGGCTTGATATAATGCACGATGTCCCCCCCACTGAGGTTCTGGTGCGTAACCGACCTCAACAACACCAATTGGTTCGCCAGCGCCTGAAGACCGTCCCTGGCGCATCGAGGCCGCAGGCCGTCTTCGAAGTCCAGGAGAAACGCATCAAGCCGAAGAAGGCAAGCCGCATGTTCCAGCCTGTCGAAATCAAGTACGAGGAGGATCAACTGCGCAAGGAATTTTTCCGCGACCATCCCTGGGAGCTTGCCCGACCCCGAGTGCTTGTTGAAAAGTCCGGCAAGGACTTTGAGAGATATAACTGGAGCCGGCTCCAGCAGCGAGGAAAGCACCTGGACGGTGAGAGGTACGTTTAGGATGTCCTTAATTTGTGGGCGGGAAGATCTCGCCGATGATTCAGATATTTGATGCTAATTCTTCTCCGGTGAAATAGCGTTGTTCAGCGACAGCTTTGGCTCCTCAATAATGTCCCCGATATGACCAAGAGCGCCGCTTACGATATTGCACGCCGCGAATTCTACCGCCTCCGTCTACAGGAAGACATTGAACGACGTGTTGCTGCTGAGGAAGCCGAAGCTACTGGTGCTGTATTCGGACCGACACGTCTAGAGATCGGTATGGACCTCGAGAACAAGGAGTATGAGCGTTGGAAGGAATGGGCCAAGTTGCAGGCCCAGCTTTCGGACCAGAGGATGGCTGCGTTCCTCGGAGCCCCGGAAGTCCAAGCTGCTGAGGAGCCAGAGACGAGCTTGGATGATGACGCCCCGGAGAAGGTTGCGGCAGCAGCCTGAAGTCGGGAGTTGCTACTTTTTGAGGGTTTTAGTATTGTCAACCCCGGATGAGGCGGGTTTTGCCAGACTCTCTAATGGCTTATGTACACTACTGGACTGTCGATATGTTTTTTCCTTCTTCTTGAGTCGCTCTGTTTTATTTTCTATGCTTTTTCTATATCCTTTCCTGCTGTGAATAAGATTTTGGGTTACGTATAAATAGTCCTTTTCAGCTGTGTTGGTTAGGTCAAGTGGTTAGATAGGTGCACGCATGGAGAGCTGGCAGTAGAGCCAACGTATCAACTATACGTCTGTAACAAAAGAGTGATTTGGAACCACGAAACCCCGCTGTGAGGCAATGAATCATCTGGAACATGAAAGTCGGAAGACAGTTCGTGAGCCGGCGAACCTCAAACAATAGTGGTGTTTCAAGTGTGTCTGCCGGGTGTCCCCTGAGCCAATCATTGAGGCGGACTTATCGCGCCCGAACCCCCAGAAAGTTATCGACCAGGCGTTTCTCCGATTCATCTCGACCCTCTTGTCAGTCGGCTTGCTCGACCTGCAAGAGACTGCGGGCCATCTTATCCATTGGCATCTGCTTGCATCTCATCGACAGAGAGTGTCCTCACGAATCCGATATTTAGTTTTGCTGCATGCTCGGATAATCTGCCGGACAGTGGTTCTCGTTTGACAGCTGCATCTCTTCGCGTTTCACTGATCAACTTAACGCCGGCTTGCTCAGAATCCCGACCGCATCCTTTGGCACCAGAGTCGACTGCCAGTGTGATCAAGCCCTTCAATACAACCTGTCAAATTGATAGCTCAACCCGTGATCGCTCAGAGTTTCATCCAACGATCCCTCCCTACCTCCGTACTCTCATTAGAACCCGAGCGGGCCTTCGTACGTTTGAAGCCCAACCGAAGCTCTCTGGGCCAGCCTCGCGCCACACTCGAACCTGGGCCTCAACACCACACGCCTTTCGCTTTTGTACAGAATTTACGTATCCTTTGTTTGGATTTTACGGCTACGTCGCTATTGCAGCGCCTGATGATCATGCTTCGTTCCGGTCTCAATGCTCGTCTTGGAGACTCTCTGACCATCTGATCAATTGTTCGATATTCGCGTACATTGGAAAGACGACCAGTGTCAGACACAGCCGCTAGAAAAGCTCCTTTCTCATATCTTCAACCATGATTTCTACAATGGTCCGCCCGGAGGACGCCATCAGGATGCCGCGTTCATACCGAACCGACGTGGATGAGGAGGATATTAGCAGGCGAACTTCGGAACAGAACACCCTCTCTTCTTCGTCCTCCTCTTCTAACAACGACGTGGCGGCAAAAACCGAGGACGAGGTTACACTGGTGAACGGGTCTGCTGGTGATGGTCGCAGCAGTAGCCTGGGGAAACATCAGACGGGCCCCCGTCTTTTGTCACCTGACGAAACCATTGAACTGGCGCGCCGAGCAGTGGAAAATGGTATTCAAGAGACTAAACGCTCTCTAGCAGGTAGTGAGGCAGTCAGCGATGTGGTGAAGCCAAAATTGACCATCGACTTGGGCCATTCGAACATTGTCCGTATACCCGAAGCGGTAGTGGACATCATCAAGGATGAAGTTGAACGGTGTGTGATACGGGATATCAAAGCCTACGGTCAAGTTTGGGGAGAAGCTAACGTCATGCAGCCTCTCGCTATCGAATAATCACCTTTTCCATATACCCTACCGATTCGCGGAATGTTCCCATCTCCGATATCTCAATATTCGCGCGAATAGTTTTCGAGAATTTCCCAAGGGGGTAAGTGTTATGTTGCTTGCCTGACCTACAGGGTGATTTTGCAATTCTAACTGGAAATTCAGGTATACAAATTGCCACTTCTTGAGATTTTAGACATCAGCCGCAATAAGATCGGCCACCTCCCGGAGGAGATCAAGAAGTTGTCCTCGCTCCGGGTTCTATCGGTAATGCAGAACCGCCTTGACGATTTGCCTCTGGGAATCTCCGACATGAACAAACTTCAAATTCTTAAAGTAGCTGGGAACCCCTTGCGGGGCCCCCTGCGACGGCTACTTGAGACGTCTGAGACAGAGTTCGCCCCCTCGACAATGACGGATAATGAGAAGGAGGTCGCAGTTACTGCCGAGCTGAAGCGATTCTTGAAAACCAAGCAGCCTGTTACGACTCTGGAAGTGGAGAGGAACGAGCTTAGGTATGGACTTAATATGTCATCTAAAAGTAACCGACTAACGCTGATGTTTCCAGCGAGGGCATGTTGGACACCCCCAAACCCGTCAAGCGCGGAGTGAGCAGTCGGTTTCCGGTGATCCCCAGCACCGGTGATCTTTCTTCCGACCCAAAGTCACCGTCCTTGTCTCGACCTCCGCCCATACCTCTCAAATCACACTATCGCATTGCTTCGGGACAGTCAGTCTTCCAGGGCGGATTTCTCCCGCGTTCCGGCGCAAGGCCTATCGCGGGAGTCAATGAACGAAACCGGAGCAACAGTGAGGGTATCATCCAGGCCTCTCTGGCCGCGCGTAACAAGCGGATGGGAGTCATTCGGAAGAATACCGACTTAGGGACGTTGGACGAGACCCGACCGTATCGGAATAGTCATTTACGGGGTTTGAGTTATGGCTCTATTCTTCGCACCCGGCCCATTGCAGCCGTGTGCAGCAGTAACTCCTCAAGCCCCAGTAGCCCGAGGGAACGCAGGCGCTTAAAGGATGGTTTTGTCAACCGAATGTCGAGTCTGCCAGAACACAAGGGCGAAAGGGAAACCGCGGAACCTATCATCGAGTGTGCGAAGGGGATTCTTTTTGCACTCTTCCAAGTGCAGTCGAATGTTTCGTCTCTGATCAATGTGATCAAACGCGATGATGCTCGGCGCAACAGTCTTGAGATTGTGTTCTACAACGCTTCTACCCACGTTGAACGGCTAAATGAAGCCATAGAGAACGCGGAGCACCATTCTGACGACGCGGATGGGGTGCGCTCGTCGAATGAGGCTGTCAAAAGGGAATGCGAAACATGCATAATTGCGTACACTCATGTCGGCACGCAACTGCGCAATAGCATCGACAAGATAGTCGCCAATGGTGACCCACGCTACTTGCGTTCCTTGATGCTCATGATCTTTGGCAGCGTGGTTGAACTGCGCAATGCCTGTGCGAGCCTGGGTATCCCACTCCAAACCCGCAAGCCGCCCTCTGTCACGAAGCCATCTATACCTGAAATTAAAGAGTCGGCTAGCTCGGACCGCTTCCTTGGACCGACAGTCACTCCAACCAGAGGGAGGGAGAATTCTTTGTCGACGCGTCGGTTGCGAAGTGACACCACAATCCAGCACCCTCAGATCACTACGACTGGTCCTTTCCAGGCTGCTCAAAATTACCAGTCCGCTGTCAGTTCACCTGGGTTTGCTCCGACTCCGTTTAGCTATGGGGCACGAAGCCGGTCAAGTAGCAGATCTAATCATATCAACACGTCCGTACCGTCGTCACTCGCGACCCCTCGTTCAGGCGAGTCCTTCCCTCCAATGCCCAGTGCAGTTGTACCTCGAATCAATCCTTTGACAGGCTTAGATGAGATCGAGGAGGAACGAATTTTTGAAAAGATTTTCTATCAACTCACTTCTGCCTACACCGCTGCCCTACAAGCGTTGCCTCTGGCGCGCCGTCAGCTAGTGCGATGCCATGAGGTAGCGGAGCAGGAACATGAATCGGAAGGCATATTAATGCTATGGAACAATTTGATTCGGCGGTGCCGGGTATGCTTAGAAGTATCCGAGGCCCTGGGTCTTCGTCTCTCCAACATGAAGGTAAAAGAGCCCGGCGGCGGGATGCGGAACCAGCGCGAGTTCTGGCAACTCTGCAAGGCGTTCATGCAGTCCTTTGTCGATCTAGTTACCGACATGAGGGAGGTTCGAAGTATGCAGCTTCTCCCGGGTGATATCATTGTCATACTTCGTCCAGTCCAGAGAGCAAGCAGAGAAGCAGGTCGGTTGATCGATGCCTCCCCGTGGTCTTACCTTGCCGATATGGCCCCAGCCAACGCGTCAGCAACCATCTACGGGCCCCCGCTACAATCCCAACATTCACAGCACCAAAATACCGCATCCAATGCAAGCAGCTTTCATCTGAACTCCGGCGTATCCCCACAGTCCGTCCATCTCCCGGCGACTCCGCTAAGTGCTGCCCTTGGACCAGCAGCGCAGGCAACCGTGCCTTCTACCCCCGCAAGTGCGTACAGTGACAAATTCTTCGAAGGGGATGTGTTTCAGAGAGCTGACTCGTTGCTCTCGATGCCCAATCAGGCGCCATTTTTCAGTCGTCGGTGAGACGTTAGCATTTGCAGTTGTACGAGGGAGGCCGTGTTTCATTGATTGGAGTCTGTGCTACGGTGATTGGAGTTCTGTCGCATATTTCTGTGCTTGCTCTTATTGCTGCGAGGGGTAGCTGCTCTCTATATCTTACCCATGATCTTTGCAGGTACAAAGTTTGATCATCAATGACCAGAAAGAGAGCCTGGTCGCGTCTGTTTCAGTATGTATACCTGGATTGTATCGTGCGCAGTCGTGACCCGAGTTGAGAACCCTCAAGCTATACACACCCACCCCGTCCTGATCTACACTGTTGATATTTGTTTAGTTCAGCCTTGTTTGCCTGTTTGTTCCATCAGTCGTTTGTTTATTCGTTCATCACTCCCTGTCCGCATTCATCTTACACTCGGAAATCAGGGAGTCGGGGATAAAAGGGACATCTACTATTACATATCTGGCCTTTTTTTTTATCTTTTTGCGAAAGGGAAAAATGGCGTATGGGTTTTTTATATTCCCAGGGACAGAAACCTTGCATAGCGTGTCATATTTCTAGCTTTCTCTTTTACCCCCAGGTTCTTCTCTTTGATGGATAATGACTAGAGCGAAATGAAATAAAAATTTCTTGTGATTTGTTTGCCTGTATTGGTCAGATCGTAGTCCGTGCTGATTGTGGATCGGCTTAGCCGAATGTCTGCAAAG